CTCAAAAACACGTTTGAATGTCTGAAGTCAGACTGACTGATATTTATCTCGGAGCAGAGGACGTGTTTGAGGACAGGGGAGGGTCAGAGCTTCTTCTTCCCTCATGACTCATAAAGAACTTGGCGCTTTTTGGCTCCACCAAGTGACCAAAATCAACAATCAGAGCTGTGTGTCTCACTCTGTTAGCAAAATATCTCATGATCCACTCAAGGTACTGTCATCAAACTTTCACATATTAATAACTGGATGTAAATCTACAACTGATTAACTTTTGGATTTAACCCAGGTCAAAATGACGCCACAGCAAAGTAATATTAATTAACATGAACATGCCTGATGATACTGCAACATGTTGGACCAATATTGAGCTAAAGTTTAGTGTTAAAGAAGATCAAGAGTAGAACATATTGTTTTTATTTTTAATTGCATTTTGCATTTTTAAAAATAAAACACAAACAAAACAAATGAAATCCCACCCCAAACTGAACAGTAATAACTGCTATATACAGATTATATAAATTAAAAGGAGACATATAAATAAACACATAGGCCTATGAAAATTAACAAACAAAACAGTTGAAAAGAAAAMCAAAAGAAAAACACGTGTGGGGCATTTAAAATGTTCAACAAAGCAAAGTCTGGTTCAGTTGGATGGAATCTAAAAACTGAACTGGGACCATCCTGCAGGAATATTGGATTTGCTCTGGGTTCATCTCCGGGCAGTCCTAACACCATGGCTGATGACGTCTTTCACTTACTTACAATATGTGTTGTAACCTGCCAGCAGTTTCAGCTAGCAGCTGCTTAAAGCAGGGCTATTCAACTAAATTGCTCCAGTAACCACAGTTAATGCAGGCCAACAGCACAGGGGCAGAACATCCARCAAATAAAGTTATATAAATAAATTGTATTACAAAGACATGTTATCTTTGAATTAGTTTATTTTTAATGCATTTAATCATGAATACAACATACAGAACCCTATAAAATTTGTGATAATAAAAAATATCAAAAACAAAAGAAAATTATGTTTCCTGTTTATCACATATTATTTTGACATCTCTGACTTGCCAAACTTTTAAACCAATTTTATTTCCACTTTCATAGTTTTATCTTCAACTGCTTGTAGTTTTAACTGTGGATGTTCATAGAAATGTTTTTTTACCAGCTTCTAGCCAAGTTTCAGGTGTTTCTGTAGATACCACATGTCTAACTTGAAGAACCTATAGTAATTAAAGTAGAAAACCGGGAGTTTGGGTTTAAGAGATGAATGAACAAATTGACGGGCCAAACTTTAGTCACCCATAGGCCGGATGTGGCCTGCGGGCTGCCAGTTGAATAGCCCTGGCTTACATAAAGACTGCAGCTTGACTGAAACTGATACTGAAAGCTGTGAGGTGACCGATGAAGGGAAGAGGAAACTAACTGAAATCATGGTGACATGTCAGGGTGTATTCTGTGGAGATAAATGCACTGTGAAACAAAATATTCTGTCCATAATTTATTAATATATTTATTTAACAGATGGTCGTCCATTGCAGTATGTGCACCTATAGGACATTGTCAGCAGCTGGAGGTGGTCTCTGGTCTGAGATGAAAATGACAGGAACTGAGTCCATCCCTACATGATTCACCTCTTGTCACGATGTGAAAATGTGACAATCTTTGCTGGTTTTGTGTCAAGATTATTAAAGGGATAGTTCAGTCAACTTTGAAGTGATGAAAAATGGCTTGAAAAAACCAACCTTATGGTTTGAGAGAGGAGTAAAAGAAGCCATTTTTGTGAAGAAAGACCGTCCATCATTAAACAGAGGTGGAGGCCTCCGTTTTCAGTTGTCCCCCT